AAATAAAATAATTATATCTCAGAAAGCATTTATTATACACATTCAGGGGTTACGCTATTACAAAGAGAAACTATCAAAGTTTTTTGAGCATAAATTTAAATCTGGGCTCCCTTGGTGGCAAGACAAATATCCAGACAATATTCAACTGCGTTCCATGTTGCTTGAAGTATGTTTGGTATTACCGCAGCCACAGCATCCCTTATGCATGCTTTCAGGTGTTGAATGTCGATCTTAACGTGGAAGACAAGGATCTTCATATAACCCCACAAGAAAAATCCACTGGAGTTAAATCTGGCAACCTAGGAGGCCAAGTGATTGGTCTGCCTCTGCTGATCCATCTCCCAGACATCTCTCTGTCCAGGTGATTCCTAAGATGGTGGCAGAAATGTGGCAATGCCCCATCTTGTTGGAGGATAGTTAGAGTTGGTAATTGAGGCAGTGCATACAGCTCCAGTATGTCCAAGTACAAACTTCTGTTCACAGTCTTTTACGAAAAGAAAAACAGTCCAATCAACTTGTCATGCATTAAGCTGGCACACACATTCGCTTTCAGACTGCCTCTCTCCAACTGACATGTGACACGCGGATTTTGACTGCCCCAAAGCCTGCAGTTGTACCTGTTTCAAACTCCACAGACACGGAAAGTTACCTTGTCTGAGAAGCACACTTGGTGGAGGAAATCAGGTGACATGTTAATTCTTTCTAGCATGTCCACAGCGAAGTTTGTGGGTGCTACTCGATTGCTCAGTTTTAGTGCATGAATCATTTGGATCTTGTACGCTCTAAGGCAGAGCCTTTTGTGTAGCACAACATGCACTGTTGAATGTGGAATTTGTAACTGCAAGCTAGCATCACAAATTGATTTGCGTGGGCTTCACTGGAATGCCTCTCTAATGTGACTGACATTTTCTTCTTTCCAATAGATTTTACATGCAACAGACAGACTATCTGTAGTTCTCGGTTTGTTGTGCAGAACCAAATGTTTTTCCATGCAGGAGGCTGACATCAATATTGCATTCTAAAATGATGCTGGACAGCTGTAAGAGATTGCAATTCTGCTAGTCACAACAAGCATTGAACTTGTTCCTGTGGTGTTGACATCGTTACTGAGCTCATCAAAGGTCACCAGCTGGTACATGTGCATAAGCCAGGCATGGTGGAGGGGGGGGAACTTTCAGGATTTTCCTTTCTGATGACATAAACCAGAACGTGTATGACAATTAGTTTCCAAGACATAAATTTTTTATTTTGGATAAATTACATCTGGACACCCTTTATTGTAGTAGGGTGCCTTATGCCATGATTATATGTAGATATTTAAGAAAAAGTAATTTATCACTCATCTAGTAAATTAAATAAAGAATGCAATTGGAAATGAATAGTTCATACCTGGCAGCTGTCACATGCCCGTCCAATGTACCTCTCCCGACACTTGCACTGTCCAGTCTCAGCATGACATCCATCAGTGTATTCAGACCCCAGTTCATTGCAGGCACAAGCTATAACAGAAAGAACTATACTTCAGCACAGAGGTGAACTGGATATCTAAATGTGTCACACACAAGAGAACCAGCTTTGAAATCTGGCTACATTCACTGTTTGTCAACTTCCCTCCCAGGACCAGATAACATTTCCAGCAGCCTGCTCTCAAACAATCTGTGGCACAGTGGTCAGAGTTCCTGGCTACAGATCCAGAGGTTCTGGGTTCGATTCCTGGTGCTACCAGATTTTCTGAGAAGTAGTAGTTCTAGAACAGGGTCTGCTCTGCCTCATGAGGATAACTGAGAAGCTACTTGAATGGAAAAGTAGTGGCTCCAGTCTAGAAAACCAAGATTAACGGCCGTGGGAATCCGTTGTGCTGACCACGTGACACCCTCTATCTGCTAAAGTTGGCACTAACTTCGCCAACAAGAGGTGGTCACTCGGTTGGTATAGTTCACTAGCGGACAGAAGGTCACGGAGTTTATTTTTGTTTGATTTTTTGTTTGTTCTCAAATATCCTAATCTAAATAGAAACTGAGGTTCTCACAGTGGTGGTTATGAAGAGTTTTTTTTTTAAATTGTTTCATTTTTGGCCCGTTACACTATCAATCACAAANAGGAAGATGTCACCTCCATCTTCAGGGCTGAAGAGTAAGCCAAGCAAGAAACCAGCATGAATCACACAGCAAGCCTGTTCCTTTAAAATGTTACTTGACGTTTAATGGGATACATAGCATTATATCCCAGAAGACAAAACTCATCATCTTAATCTAAGTTTTTGTCTTTAAGGTGATAAACTATATTCAATTCCTATTCAGGATAGGGATCACTGGCAGGATTTTATGAAAACAATAATGAATATTTTGACTTGTTGGGTGACTACTTTTGTCCGAACACTATGATGGTACCTTTTCCCACTTTATCTACAAGCTGTGCAGGTGGCCTCTATTACTGTTCCCCCACTCTCCACCACACTTCACCTGTTGGAACAGGAAGATAGTATTAGCTACCCAACATGGGCTCTACCGCATGGAGTTAATTATAATATTGGCCATGCCATGGCACAGACCATTAGTTGCTGGCTTCCCAACACAGTGGCCCAGGAGCAGTTTTTCTATGACTACTTAGATTTCCTCTACCAATTCTCATTCCACCATATGTTCTATGCCCATCTCTCATTCTGGGTTGGTGCAATAGGCCCACTAGTATCCGGCATACGAAGTAGTCTTGGTCTCACCCAATCCTATGAATTATTTACAAAGTAAGGAGTAAGAAATTAGTCTATAGGATTTTAGAAAAGACCTTTTTTATGACTAACACAACTATCCTAGACACTGACACTAAAATTTACAAGATTCAAACTGTAACTATTTATATTCCCCTAAAAATATATTCAGAACCTCTAATATACAAAGCCTACTTGAACCATTATCATTTTATGTGCAGCATGAAAGCATAAATCCTGAAATCTCTATTGAAGATTAGATTCTAACCAAACACACTCCTTAGCAAAGGCACCATTTAGTGAAATACAATTTCTAGTACTATTCTTGAAACTTACGTTTGCAGTCACTTTGTGTAGGATCACCATAGTGGTTTTGAAGACATTCATCACATCTCCAACCCCCAGTATTACCACGGCACTGCAAGCACTGACCAGTACGTTTATCACAAGGTCCACCTCCACACTCACAACGCCTACAAGTGGAGCCTGGCTCTTCAGGTGTTCCATAGAATCCACTGCTACATCTGAAACATGGAATTTAAACATCCATATATGTAACTCCATGGAGAAGATGAATCCAGTCTATGCTCTCCCACTGTATTTCTTTAAGGCACACCATAATATTAGTCTCCCATATATGATAATATTAAAATGAGTCTCAAGAAGGTATGAGGATGTGGAATGGATTTAGTAGGCTCAGAATAGGGTCCAATGGCAAGCTCTTGTGAATACAAAAATGAACCTTCAGGTTCCTTGAGAGCACAAACTTATTTCATCAGCTTAGCAGCTATCGGCTCTCAAGAAGTGCACTGATCCATGAGCAAGTTAGTCAGTTAGTATAATGACAAACAGTCACCTCAAACAAAGAAGCAGAGCCAGCCAACTTCTAATATATTGTGTATATCCAATATACCTAAGAGATACATAATGGGAAATCCATAATAGAGATTTTTTTATAAAGAAAAATATAAACATATATGACCACACCAAATATCATGAATATTAGTCACTTTATTCAAAAGTTAAATGGGGATGTATGTAAACACATAGCATGGTTATCTTAGTAGCTAATTTTTCTTTTAGAAAGGATGGTAGACTAAAACCCCATTAATATTTATCATGTGACATTTAAATATCGCTGATGTGAGAATTTCATCTCAAATTATGTACATATTAATCAAGCAATGATACAAACAGAAGAATATTTGTTTTGTTGAACCAGGGGAACGTCCATGAAGTTCTATGTGATGATGCATTTGCCTTTATCATATGCAAGTATTGCTTCTAGGGGGATCAAGAACTACATCACATATAGTTAGGGAATGCGACATGCGTTGCAGAAAAGCTTGCAATTCAGCACTGAAGTCTAATATTTTTATGGTGTTGGATGTGCTAAGCTTCACCACCTCATTCTTCCTCCCTAACTCACAACAAATTTCAGCATGAATTTCCCACACCCTCATACAATCTCCTCTTTTCCATCTCATAATCTCTTTCAGCAAACTACTTCAGTACTTCCAGATCTTTTATCAGGCACTGTTCAACATTTTAAACTTGACATTATGGTTCATTGTAAGATTAAGTCCAATGATCATGATGATGTCATGATGATTTCTTTCAAACAAATTGGAACTACCTACTAGGCTTAGCAAAATCATATTCCAATTCAATGTCACATTAAGTTTGACAGTTTTAAAACACAAACAAAATAAAATTGACCTAAAGGAGAATCATTTGTGAGGGTTAAAAATACTAGGCGAAGAGCAATGCAGTGTGTACCTTTCACAGTGGTCTCCATCGTATCCTTGTGGGCAGTCTGTACAAATATAGTCGATAACATTTTCGTCTGGTGATTTGAGTTCACAGTGTGGGCTGAAGTTGTTACTAGCCTCCACTAATGGGCAAGCACAACGCTGACAGTCTGATGGAGTACCCTGTGTTGCATCTCCATAGTAACCAGCTTCACAATAATCACATTTGGTGCCATTTGTATTGTGCTCACAAGCCTGAAAAGTAACATATACCCTTAAACATATATGGTAATTAAGGAATTATATTTTAGCAGTTTTGATCAAAAATATGTATCATTATAGCTGCAATACTCACTTGGTGCTCTTAAATGGCTTCTGAAAACTAAAGTATTAAGTGAAATGGGACTAAGGAAAACCAATTTCTTCATATGTGAGCCGATCCCTTCAGCTCATTGGTTGTAGTGCCCTCTCTGAGCGGCGGCGGCCGCGGATCACACTGTTTTTCCCTACTTTTCCTACTACCTATCCTTATTCCGTGGCATATTCTACATCATCACTCCTCTATCCTTTGTGATTCGGCTGAGGCACCTCGTCTCTTCTGCCTGGAAAGTCGTCGTGTACGGACGTCTCGCTCCGTAACTAAATTCTGTTTGGATCGGTGCCATGAAAGATTCGGTTTTGTAGTTAAACTCCAGGCAGGAGGGCCCATCTCGAGGTAACGCACATAATACTAGCATACTGATTATTGTTCTTGGAGGAATTGTGTAAGTTGAGAATGTATATACAGGTTTTGTCTGTATTGTGTGTGCAGGGGATTACAGAGATAGGATTATGCTAGCGTGAAGTTTATTATAAAGTATGCCTTATATGTGGTGTTGTGGCGGAGACAGCCTGTGCGAGTTGTGATAGGATATCTTATGGCTGGTTATGCTGATTAATTGTTGTGTTTTCTTTTGACACAAATTACTGGTCATATATTAAATGTTATTTGATTTTCTCGTTTACTTCTTGTTTTTTTTTTTTGAGTAATAGATAAGAGAACACCCGTTCCCCAGCTGGTGGGGTGGGGGCTCATATGTATCAAGGTATACTGTAGCTAGCTATATATTCAAATTATATGGATATGATATGCAACAAATCAGTTCCTCAGTGTTAATTATATTAAATCATATATTCAAATTGTTGTTCAACTTCTGTAAATTTGTGCTTCATTCCACACTTACTTATCTGTGCTACAAAACCAGGTACTCACAGCACAGTTTCCTGTGATAGGATCACATGTTGGTGCATGCCCATGACAGTCACACAATCTGCATTCTCCCTGACCTGGACTGGGCCCCACATGTGTGTAGCCATACCCACATGCCTCACACGACAGACCTGTATAGCCTGGTGGGCAGTCACAGTGTTCAACAAGGTGTGTCACAGATCCAGTGCCTCCAACCATTGCTCTCTGCACCATAGCAGTGATTAGACTGTTAGGAGTGAACAAACAGAATTGTAATCTTCAGAAATAAATGAATATTTCATGGTCAGGGACACAACAAAACTGTTCCGTGAAGTATATAGGGCTCTAACACCGGTATTTACTTCTGTCAAACTTCACTGCATGAAAAGTAAATCTGAAATAGTGACCTTTTACGGTCATCTGCTGGACTAAGTCTTCCACTTTATGCTCTGCATTCAAGACCTATGTCAGGCTCAGTTCACCATGTTTTATGAGAGTTACAGACGGTCTGGAGTCAGTCTGAGAGAAAGATACAGTGTCAGTATGGCATTCAAGCCTTCCTCTTTGCAGTGGTGTTAACAGACTGTTTGTTTTAACAGGTTTGTGAATTTTATAATATGAGGTAAAGGTAAGGTGAAGTTGCCCCTGTGCTTAACTAATTAAGGACTACGCCATGAAGGCGTATGGGGGAGTAGATGTATAGACCCACATTCTCTTGACCTCCGCACTAGCTGGAGGTGAGGGGTCAGCTTCATGCCCCAGTTGCTTTAACCCTGGGAAAAAGCCCCCAATACCCATTGTATATGAGGTTGGGTGGACCCCAGAGTCAGTCTGGACAATATATAGTCATCCAGGCTATAGCCAGATGTTATACTGACTACACTATCCTGACTCCTTTATAAATGACAGCTATTCAGAAAGTAAACTCCAGTGAATTGTTAAAAAAACAAGCAATGAGAAAAAACACATTCATTGTGTATGAAGAATATGTACATACTTAAGCTACAACTCAATGTATTCACCACTGAAATTGAGGCACTTATCTTGTCAGGGAATAAATTTCTGTACTCTGTGTCAAAGAAGTCTGCCACCTGTGAGCACAGCCACGTTTTTACACCTTCCATCAACTCATTATTTTTTTAAGTGCTGTGATCCTAACCAGTTCTTCAGGTAGGTAAACAGGTGGTAGTCACTCGGAGTGAGGAGGTGGGTGGTCAAATAACTCCCGGTTGAAATTCTCCATCATTACTTGTGCATGAGAAGCTCTACTCGTATGCGGAAGCACATTGCCATGGAGGAGCACTACAAGTGCACTGGAAGTCAGCATTCCAATCCTTTTCCCTGAATGGGCCTATGCAGTTCATTTAGTGTTTTGCATCACACTTCTGACATTATGGTTCCTTGTTGCATGCATTCAACTATCAACATTCTTTTCTTGTCCCGGAAAACGGTTACCATCAGCATTTTGACAGGCAGACAATGTTTGTTTAAAATTTTGGCTAATTTGTTGTGTGAATGTGTGTGCACAGACTGGTCTGACTACTCTTTGATTTCAACATTCACAAATGAAAGCCAGGTTTCATTACCTGTTACTTGTACAATGTGATTAAGAAATTCATTGCCATCTTTGTGGTACCACTCTAAAGAGTCAAAGCCCAAGTCATTTTCTGTGTAATCACATACAGGGAGGCAGACGAATTTATGGATGAACAGAGATCAACAACTGACTTTCTCAGGCCACTTTATTCTTGTGATGGGTTACACAAGTGCTTTCAGGAAATCTCAAGTTTGATGTTTTCGTGATTAAAATTCTTTCTCTAATGAAACATTGCCTGCTTTAGTGGGGTGGAAAATTATTTCATATCTTTCAAGCAAACTTAAAATCTTTCAACTCTTGGTATCTATATAAAGCAATAGTGATAACTAAACTGTTTGTAACTTTAGGTCCTCAACTAGTGAGTTTACAGGACGCTGTAGGAAATGGGTACACATGGCTTCACACTTGGGGAAGTCTGAGTTCACATCTACAGGTTTTATGTGCTAATCAAGGGGAATGTGTACATGAATGATTGACAAAAATTTCAAGATCAGTAAGTACACCCTGAAAGTAAGTGATGAGGTTGCTGCAATCATGACCCCAGGTGTGAATCAACTAAGCAACCAACTAACTAACAAACCAGAAAGTCCTATGGAGCAGAACCCAGCATATTTATTTTTATTTATTATTTTCAATTTTCAGTTCAATTTTAATTTTCTGGACAGAGCCCAGCTATTTATTCTTTTCTATTTTGAAGCCAATTTTCAATTATTGAACAGAGCCCAGCTTATTTATTTGTATTTATTCCCTTCTATTTTCAATTCAATTTTCAATTTCTAAGATTATAAGCAGAAATAAAATAATAGAATAATTGATGAAACATGAATTGGTAAAGATGTAGAAGCAGCAGCCTAATTTAAGGTACTTTACCAATAGCAGCCATGAAGGGAATAAGGAAAATGGGGGGGGGGCAAAAACCTCAATCAGGATAGATGGTTTTCAAGCCAACATTTGGACCGTGAACATCACACACACACACACAAAACTAGTGTTCCCCATTCAACCACAACATTTTACTAAAGCCCATGTTGGAAAGCTGATAGTCACTACAGCAATGACAAAATTCGACTCTTTAGAGAACCCAGAGGTTCATTACCATGTCCACAAGAGCCTATCACTATCCCCAAACCTGAGCCAGATTAATCCAGTCCACATCGCCAAGTCCCCTTCATCACTATGTACATAGAGTTAGGGGACAGGAAATAAAGGATTAATCTTAAAACCAAAATTACTACAGCAAATTATGTCATAAGAAATTTCATAAACTGACAGTATGTTACCTTCCCTCAACTTGATCAGTGTGGAATTTTGCTCTGAGCAGGACATGTTTCACATGTGTAAGTACGCTCATCAGATCATCTCTGCTTGCTGGAGCGCCATGATAATCATGCCCAATGATATCTCTAATATCATTTGGTATATGATACCAGGCATCTTCATGAAGTGGGATAGTCAATGTAGCATTAGGAGGCTTGTATGAATGATCTCCCGTACCAAGCCGCAATCCATTGCTCCCCTGGGAAAAACAGCATTATGTACATAGCTCAGGAACGATATTGACAAATTATTAAAAAAAAAAGATTTGTAACGAAATATATAAAAAGGTTAAAAAATATGCATTAAAACCTAGCCCTGTTGACAGCAAAGTCTACCTGCACAGCGCAAGAACCACATAATAGTATGTCACCTACAATTATCTTATTTTTATGAAAAGTTTTGATTTCTGGAAACATTATGACATTACATCAGTCAGGTATGTATAATATCTATAAAACAGAAAAACTATATAAATATATGTATAAGATTAGACTTTACACTTACCACATAACATTCCCAATCCATGCATAAGACGAAATCAACAAACTTATCAACCCTGCTATGGCTTACAGAAAGCAGGACTACATGTAGAGAACTATTGTAAATTATGCATAAATGTGTTGTAGTGACAGGAATTTACTCATTTAGTGTTCTTTTATTCTTACTGTAAACAGTTTCAAACACTCAGCAAACAACATGATTTTTAGTGGAAAAAGTGATGCATTTACATGTTCTTACATAAATTACTATATTATCTTCTATTCTGGACTGAGAGCATCTGAAAGCAGGGTTCAGAGAAGAATATTTGAACCTAACAGACAGAAAGCAATAACAGGTTGGAGAAAACTTCACAATGATGAGCTTCATAATTTGTACTTTCCAGCAAATAATATTTTCGTCACCAATTGTGAAAAAGACACTAGTGGGGTAATGCATGTAGTACGAGTGGAACAGATAATTTCATAAAACGTTTTAGTTGGATAATGTGAGGAGAAGAGACAACGTGAGAGTCATAAACAGGGAACAATATTAAGATCAGCCTTAAAGAAATAGAATATGTGGACAAGATTCACTGCTTAGGTAGGCTGTGGCAGGCTCATGTGAACACATACTGAACTTTTGGGTTCCATAAAAAGCAAGAAATTACTTGATCAGCTGAGAGACTATTAGCTTCTCAAAAAGGATTCTGCTTTGTGAAGGTAGTTAATATGTTCATCTCTTGTTCACGACGTGGCTACTTGTGAGCATTTTCCATCATCCAACTAATGAACATTTTTATAAAAATTCGGTGAATCTGTGACTAACTTGTGCATACAAGACACAATCCCACGATTCAACACAATCTAAAAATTAGTGGAGAAATCTGAGAAAAATTGTTTGTACTTTCCTAATTGAAATTTTATGTACTATTAGAAGTAATGACAGAGGCCTGAATTTTGACAATGAATCAATAATCCAATATTTTGCTCTTGTGCCTTGTACTCTAATTTCATTTGGGCATGTTGCAGCAAAGGGGATAAGCATGTTCACTGCTCACACTTTTAACACTTATATTATGTTGTCTCAGAAATTAACAAATGGAATTTATCACATTCTATGAATGGAAGACAGACAAATTCCAAAAATTTTAACATAAAACCTAATAAGACAGCAAAATATGTGGTACCCGCAGATAAGCTGGAGGAACCCACCTAACCTTCAAGAGGATGGAACAGACTAAACATGGTCTAATCCATGGAGATGATGATGGATTTTACTGAATCATTCTTACAATGCAGAGTAATATTCTTAAAATTTCAATATTCTTGCATAAGCATGCAGTTTTGGACTTATCAGTACTGAAAAGAGAATACTGCACCCAGATTTTTCTCTCTTAAGGATGCATTTTATAAACGCCCTATGAAACAATTAAATACCAGTTGCTTGATAAGTAATAATCTCCTTCTTAAGCTCAACATCTGTTTTTGTAAGAATCTTTAATATTTAAAAGCAGCAAAATTTAGCTTAAAAGAATGTCTGGGAAAAAGTCAAACTCAAGATTTAAAATGATGAGAGCACTATATATATACAGTAAAACTTGGTTATAGCAACATCGGTTTCTGCGACACCTTGTCTATTGCATCAAATATTCAATAGTACGAACTAATTCCTCATAAAGCAACTGTTTTTATACCTTGCTTAGTACGACATGCATAAANTGTTACATTAGTCTATACTTAACTACGTATTTCACTATAAAATGCAACATTTTAACTCGGTTTTGGTAGATTTTTACGTGACTGACATAAGGCTACTGTGGAAGTGCCCATTTCGGTTACAACGACATTCATTTATAACGACACTATTTTTAGGTCCCTTTGATGACGTTATAACCAAGTTCTACTGTATATATATATATGGGAGGATAATAATAAAATAAATAGTAATGGAATAGGGTGGGATTGTGTGGACTGAATATAACCCTCTCAGGATACAGCCTTTGGCAGACTTTTGTGAACAGGTCATTAACTTTCAGGCTCCAAAGAAGAGGAAATTTCTTGAACATCGGAATAAACATTTTTATGATAAAGTATTATTGATTGAGGACTGTATATTACCCTTTTAAATGATGTGTTATTCCACTGTATAACATCCCAAGTTACAATTACAGGTTTGACTGTTATTTCTTAGGTAGTACTCACGATAAGAACCATGTTGGGTCCAACAGTCGGTCTCCCGCTGGTGTCTCCACGCATCACAACCCAGCTCACACTAAAGCTCACATTGGATCCATAGCTAGTCAAAAGATTGCCACGGTATTGTTCTGGAGCCAACCAGAAGTAGCTCTCGACACCTGGTAACTCATAGTTACCAACTGATAGCTGCCTTGTTTCTGTGTCTAACGAAGGAAGAACTGTTCTGCTCACTGCTAGGTCACTTACCAGCCACCCTGACAATGCTGAAAACTGAGAAATATAAAACCATTAGACCTGTAGCAAATGTGCAAATATCTTAAGACTGGGATGTGATGAGGTGCAGTTTAGTAGATAGGAACAGGACTTTCAGAGGAACCTACTGCAGCCAGCTTCAGTGTAGAAGAGTAAGCCATGAAGGGAAAATTGTAGAAATACAGGGATGGGAGGACTGAAATGGGGCTATGACTGAACCAGTGGACATGATGAGACATTTTCAAGGAGCACAGTGAAAAAACATATGAGAAAGGATGGTGGGTAAAGACAGAAGACAAAGTACTTAAAATAAAGATAAGGTAAATAAGTGAAAAGATGCAGGAAGAAAAGAGAAGGGAAATGCAGATAGGAGGAGAAAGAAGAATAGAAACCCAGAAGAGCCCATGGCTTCTACCCTCTGAACAGAATCCCCTTCACAGCCATTGGTTCTACTGGGTTCCTTGTAGCCCTGTTCCTAAGCCCTCTCTTCCCTCTTTGTTCCACTTTTCTGTACAGCTTACACATCTACACTGAAGATGGAGGCAGCAGGTTTCTCTAGAATGTTGGTATCTATCTGACAAACTACATGGTGTCACATTCTAGACTACTGCAATCTTAATATTCACTGCTGGGAGAACCTGAAATCACATGCAAACATCTGTAGAAATTATGATTAGGAATCTCTCAGCAGATACAAAATTTAAATGGCAATATAGGTGACTGCAGAAAATATTTAAAATTTTGATGGTAATGTGAGAATTGTGTTGGTAAATTTTAAGAGAAACAGAATGAATTAGGTCTTGAGTCTATAACTTACAGTCTCAAGCAGCAGGTCTGTACTGGAATGACAAGACCTGCTCACACCAGAGCAGTAGCATTGCATACATCCATCAGGGTTATCTCTGCTCAAAGCAAAGTAACCTGGCTTGCAGCGATCGCATCTTTCACCTTCCACATTGTCCTTACAGGTGCAACTTCTTTCACAGTCAGTCATCAAGTCAATTCCTCGAATATCACATGGACATGGGGTACAGTTGGGGTAATCTCGAAAACCTGGGGCACATACATCACATTGTGGACCCCCAAATCCCACACGACATTCACAAATTCCTGCTTCCTAGAATGTAAAAATTAACATGTAAATACATTAATTTCTCTCACACAGTAATGTCATTCTTCATATTCTCAACAATTTTTATATCATTTAACAATATAAACTATTATTTACATATTCCAACAAATATAAAAATAAAAAAATTAATACAACATATATACACTGAAAATTATAAGGAATATTTTCTCAGTTTTACTTTTCTTCAACTAGAAACATGTTTATTTGTTGCGTGATGATGTGAAATTGTCATTGCAGGTTAAGTCACATAAGCCCAATGAAGTGGAAAGGTCTTTGTTCATAGAAACATAAAAAGCATTATTCAATTAATTTCCACTATAGACCCCAAACACACATTTGTCTCACTGTGAGACTAGCTTTGACACATGCACAAATATACAGGTGGAATTCACAATCCATGAATCTCACAAAAGTTACTAATATGGAACTAGAGTGTAAATGGACATAGTGTTTTATAACTTTAGTATACAGTCAAATATTAGTGTCTAGACATGGGGTTTGGATTGGTAATTGGATTTACTGAACTCTTACAGCTCACAGCTACAAGTAACTATAACTAGCAACAGCTGTCTCTTCTGGCTTTCATGTCACAATATAATTTTCACAGTGTTTCTCTTTAGATGTAAGTATGAAATGAAGGGCAATTTCATTATAAATTTTGACCAAAATCACACAACAGTCAGAGATATCTTATTTCTTTATGTAATCACCCTGCTTGTCAATGCACAGTGGAACCCCCATTTAATGTACCTTGATTTAAGGTGTTCCCTCATTTTAATTTCGATTTCAGTGACTCAAGTCAACACCCTCAGTACTAAATGTTCTACAATTAAGAACTTCCTCAGTTTAGTGTTCAAATTCACTGATCCCCAAAGAAACTTTAAGTGTGAGTTTTGCTGTATTTGGTCTATCAGTACACAAGTTTCCCGATTCTGTAACATTAAAATGTTTTCTGCTGGGCTTTAAGCCATTCTTGCACAGCTTCTTTCCATGGCTGATGTTTATGTCACACAAAATTCATCAATGCTGATTCCTCAGTTGCCATAGATGTGTTGAACAACTTTGTCCCTAACCTTGGCACTTTTAGCTGACAGCTGGGAACATTCATCAACATTCACTGCCATCTTTGAACATTCTCTTCTGACTTATATATTTTTCTCATCATGTTGAGCCACTGATATACCTGTTTGTCTGCTAAGTGTCACTGTTCTTCAAGATATCTGACCCAAAAAATCAGATCACAAGTCACTGTTCCTCTTTTAGGTATTCTATTAATGGAACAGCCATTTTGAAGTATCTCAGCATTATCAGTATTTAAATATTTGTAAAAACCAAGTAGGTGGAAATGACAGAAGATTCACATTGTTTATGTGCACCCATCATCATCTCCAGCTCTGTTAATATTTCTGATGGTAATCAAAATTGTCTTTGAATTTTAACTTGCTCTCTCATAAGATTCTAAAGATAGGCAGGCATCAAAATTTCTTGTGAAACACAACATATAATCTAGCATAATGTTACTACTCAATAAAAAGAAACTCAGAAGGTAATATATAGTTTTATGCTACTTTTTTTAAATGCTAGTAGGGTGGGACCAAGTCCCTTGTACTGTGGCCACTTCTGGCCTATTGTACCAGCCCCAGATGATAGGTGAGGGTGATTGTGGAGCAATTGGTGGAATGAAGATTGGCAGGGGAAACCGAAGTACTTGGAGAAAACCTGTCCCAACGTCACTTTGTCCACCACAAATCCCACTTGACCAGACCCAGGATCGAACCCGGGCCGCCACGGTGGGAAGCCAGCAACTAACTGCTTGAGCTATGGCGTGGCCCAATTTATGCTACTTAGTTTTCTTAGTATCAGAATCCTGCATGTAGTCTACTCCAACACAGGGTGAACATAGAACATCTATTTGCATGCATGCATTTACTTCTTTAATTCAGGTTGCAAAATTTAGGTTCAGTGCTTAATTAATAATTATTTCTTGCTAATGTGATATTATCATGATTTAAATTTTGTATCTTCAATTCCTTTCCTGCAATGGTGAAATTAATAGCTTACATTGTTTTCTGTACCTTGCCTGTAGAATCCCCATCCTGCGTACATCGTCCTGTAGCACCAGGCTTGTTGTCACAGTTGCAGGGCTGGCAAGGAGCTGGATCAAGTAAGGATACACCTTTCGGTCGATACCACCCATCTTCACATCGCTCGCAGTTTATGCCTGTTGTATGCGCCTGTGAATTGTAAAAAAACTCAATCACTGAGAATGTACTGGTTAGGAATTTTATGAAATATCAACTGCAAAACATCCACAGTGGACACAAAATAATAGTGTCAGTTGAACTCTACTTATAGACTCACACACTCGTGGAGCTGAGCCCTTCTTGAGAAGCTGCTTATTGTGCAGCTACTCAAGAACTTTCCAGCAATTCATAGAACCTGAAGATTCATTACCATGTTCAGAAGAGCCCTCCACTGGTCCCAATCCTGAGCAACATCTATCCAATTCATACCATCCCATCCTATTTCTCTAAGATCCATTTTAATATTGTCCACCCACCTATGCCTTGGTCTTCCCAGTGGTTCCTTCCTTCTGGCTTCCCCACCAATATCCTATATGCATCCCTCTTCTACACCATTTGTGCTGTTTTGATTGACCAATACTGGGACAAACTAGGTCACTCAACCTAACACTAATATCCAAAGTCTAGAAATTATGAGTGACTTACAAATGGAATTCTAGATTACAGGGACATAATATACTAGACTGCAACTACTCATGTAAACCATTATGAAAGAAGCACTCAATCCAGCATCCTCACTTCTTGGCTTAGGTTCCTAATTTGTGCAGTGAGCAAAGGAAGTGTTATGCTACACATATCTTAAACCATATAAATATATATAAAATATCATAATCATCCAATCTGTGAAACACTTACTCATAATTATGATGTACCTGAAATAAGAGACTCACCGTGCAATTTATGCAGACACCTCCCCCACGATACTCCCCATATACATCTCGACTCAGGTGAGCAGCTGCAGCTGTAGCATTGTAACGACAGCTGGTGGCATGTCCATAACACTGGCATGGCTCACATTGTGCTCCGTCAGATGGAGTCCCAGCACGCCATGGAAGCTGATTGTACAGTGGACAACAGCGGTCACAGTTGGGACCACAAGTATTATGCTGGCACTCACACTGTGCCCTCTGCAATACATAAGCATGGAAGTGGATTATTTTATATCTCAGGCTGTGAAATTTTTTAAATTTCTTTAATGTACATGGAACAGGCAACTAGACTGAATTCTTTAAGCTGACAATAATTATGATAAACTTATTCTGTGCTTTCAATATGACTGCCTGAATATACTGGGGGGAAAACAAGGTGCCAATGACAAAATTATAATTAAGCTCACATAATTCATTTGGTATCTAGGCCTCTTGTACAGTTTACAAAACAGCACTGCTTTATAACATAGGGATCTCCAAACAATTAGTGAAGTGTAATATCAAAAGGTGACAAGTTCTAGCCATAGAAATGAAGGTGAAAGAAAAAACTCCTTAAGACCAGAAAAGAGATGATCATGGCCTTCATATGGTATTAATGCACATATCTAGAAAGGCACAGAGAAGCCATTAAACCCTTCAATCAAGACTGATTGTCCTGAGTGGAGCGCTGAGTCTCCTATAAAAAATTACACATGCTGTTCAGGGAGTAACTAACTTACTGAATGCAAATTCTGCATTGTACATGCACATTACAGTATAATTGAACATAATAAAAGTCATCACCTGTAAAATGCACAGATCAGCACTAGGCTCATTTTTAAATTGCCTTTCAAAAAATTAACAGTGGGGTACTTGTAATCATTCAATTTCCATGTAATTATGCAATAGTTAATTATGCATTACTTATATTGGTACCCATCTGTAGAGAAACATTTAAATGAACTTTAAAAGGCTGTTGGATGCACATCGCAAAATATTACCATTCCTTACATGGGTGAATATCTGCTAAAATAAGTTTTCTGATGTTCCTGTCTTTAAGTACTGTGCCATGAATGTGTCAGAAAAAATGAAGTTACAGCTCCACATCTCAGCACCAGATGAAAATTAGCTGTCACCTTTGTGTTCTAACTGCTTTGTCCATGGATAAAGGAGCATCATGAGGTATTCTATGGACTGCTCCCATAGTAACCTCTCTCAGCTAAGGCCGCGCCATAGTTCAAGCGGTTAGTCGCTGGTTTCCCACCGTGGTGGCCTGGTTTCGATCCCAGGTCTGGTCAAGTGGGATCTGTGGTGTACAAAGTGGCACTGGGGCAGGTTTTCTCCGAGTACTTCAGTTTCGCTGCCAATCTTCATTCTACCAAATTCTCCATCATCATAATCACCTGGGGCAGGCTACAATAGGCCAATCAGTGGCCGCAGTGCCAAGTGGACCCAGTTGGACTCTACCCCCCACCCACTAAGTGAATCCTCTCTCAACTAATGTTATCAAATGTCTCAAACTCGCCAAGAGTAAGAAAAATGTTTACACTCTACCAAACATACATAGTTTACATGTCTGACAAATTAAATGTCAAACATTTTCATTTTAAGTTCAAAGATATGTGTGTCGTTATGGTATTTACATCTTCCCAGTACAGTACCAGCCCAACTAAGTTCATGCTTTTTAAACACTGTAGTGTTTCTGATATTAAAATCAATATCCAATAAAGAGCTCAGCGGTTGGAAGTTTGGAGACATAATGTGTCTGTGAGTGTTCCTTTTATGTCTGTGCTTTTGAAGAGCTAACAAGGAGTTACTGTGCATATACACAGCTACCAAAATAATCTTAACTGTAATCTTCATTACCTTAAACCTCAATTGCTCTCCTACTAATTACATATTTCCAAAAGGATGACCACTCTGCACACAGTTCATCACTGTGGCACTAATGAGCTCTATTTTTGGTGAAAGGAAAGACTTAAGGGACATTTGGTTACTCAGGTCACCTGACTTTACTCTGCTTGACTTGTCATGAAAAGGCCACACTTGTATACATATCTTTTGTTTCTATGGTGCTATATACCAATGTTTTCTGCAAGAGAATGATTTCAACGGATGTTAGCCCACCTACATTACCTGATTTCATTTCAGGCAAAATATAGCAATGTATTTCTCACAATATTTCTGAACTTACATCTTCATTGATTTCACTGAAACTGCAGACAAGATAGAGTATATGCCCACAAACATGTGGAAGCCAACTGTAAATTCTGTAAATTATGTGTTATAAAACTGATTGCGCAAGGACTTTAAGCTCACCTTGTACAATACCTAAACATTTAATACCAAATTTTGTCAAAACACATTTATGGATAGATTTCTAATGCATGTCTACAGGTACAGTAATGCTACCAGTGATGTTCATTTCTTCATTAAGTGAACCCAAAAGCAGCATTTTACCTTCCTACATAATATAGACTCTGTCTCCACTACTCACTCCAAACTTTCCATTTTGCGTACACTTGCTGGCATGGCCTGAGCAGACACACTGGCCTCCGATACTGACATCCTTGATGGAGTAGAAGAGACGCCTGGTCACAGAGGCATCATCAAGGCCTGGTGACAATGACATAAACTCTTCGTTCAATGTGCGTATTTTCTGCAGACGCAGACGCACAAAGCGGGCAAGTGTGAACTCCAGCAACTCAGCACTTGATTCATTTGCCCCAGGACGACCAACAACCAGAGATGTATGAATCTGAGGTGTAAAATAACATTATTAATAAAAAAGAGGCAACATATTTGATATTTAATATTATTAAAATTCAATAAAAATTAATAATACGTAAATAATAGTATTTATTATATTGTGGCCATAGAACCGTTGCTAAGCAGTGAATCTGTAAATATCGGTCATTGCTAGGTAACATCCGCAACATTCACGCACGCAAAAATACAATTTCGTTTTCTGTGTGATCCGCGATGCAAATGTTGCTATGCAATGACGAGGTAAATACGCCTCTAAAACAATAGAGGCTGTGTTCTCTGCGGGGTCCGTGCCGAGGACTTATCTTGAAGACAATTGACGCTACAGGAGTCAGTTGAGGGTTCACCTATTGAGTGGGCAATGGAAGCGGAATAATCTCCATTGCTAAGATTCGTGTAGTGAAGACAAGGCAGAGGAATAGCCATCATGGAGAGCTGATACTAAGTAAAGACTAGTGGAAATAAATTGAGAAGACTTAGTGTCGAGTGATTTGTAGTGTGGAAATCGGCAATAATGTAATAATTATTTGAGGTTATGACCTGCAGGTTGTTAATAAATCCAAATACCAATCCAAACACTGTCTCAGTCACCCAAACACGTGACAATGTTATGGTTATTAAGATATTCTTGCAAAAAACACAGATACTTTTCTTTAAACCAAAAATAAAAAAAAATCCTGGTTTGAGAGGCCTTCTGAAAGATTTAAACAGGCTGTAATTAAAATTAATAAAAAGAGAGAAAGCAAATTATATTATAAAGTACTACATGAAACGCAATGGTGTGACAGGAACGCTCTAGAATCATATTTGGTAGGTGCTCGATCCGAATTTCTGCAGGAACGCCGGCTATTCTGCATGAGGGCTTTCATGGTTTTCCTCATTCCTCTTATGTAAACGCCGGCACAGAACCTCGAATAGGTCAAGAACACTTCCTTTACAGCTCATCAATCATCCCCCATTCGATGGTGTATAGTCTAAGATACTGAAAGCCTGGTAAAACACACCACAATAAAATTATATGTAACACCTGCATCTGTGGTTTCACATGTGGACTACTGGCACACAAGTTTCTAGTACCAAACTTCCGCCCCTGCAACGTCCCATGCACCAGAGAAACCTGCTCTCATATCACACACACTACTTATTTTGTTGGGGCACGCGGTAGCGTAGTTGGTTGAGGGGCTATGCTACAAGCCGGAAGGTCGCGGGTTCAAGTCCCGATGAGGTCATTGGGTTTATTTCAATTGACCTAATCCTACCAGCCGCACTAGGTCCTGGGGTTTACTCAGCCTCTAACAGAAATGAGTACCAGGAATTAATTAAATAATTTTCCTGGGGAGTAAACAGAGGCCGGGGCGTAAGGCTGACAACCTTACCGCCATCTGTGAGCCGACTGTCTAGATAATGTGGGACCCTCAACGTCTCACAACCCTATGGGCCTTCGCGGCCTGTTACAGGGATAGCTTTACTTTACTTTACTTTACTTACTTATTTCACTTCAGCTGCTCGATGTAAACAATTGGGGCTACTTTTATGCAATGTAACGACAATAAATTTTACAGATTTTCTCTTAACTCTTGCAAAGCAGTGGTCACTGTATGTACCACCTGTTTAAACATTAAAGAACTCTGCATTATATTATGGGTTTCATACGAATCTCACATTAAAAAGCGGCGTTGCCAGTTGGTCTTCATAATGGAGATGTAGTGTGTTTACTAAGAAGGAGGTTTGTAAATGCCGTTTGGATGAAGGCCATGACTCAAAGAGTTGACGTGACAGTGTAAATTACTCACTCCAAACTCGTCTACAGACAGCCAGAAATACTGACGAGTCGGAGAAGTTGCCGAAACTCCAAGGCGTTAGCCACACAGGGCAATGACAAGCTAGGGCATTTAAATGAAATGCGACTGATTAAAATGCATGATGCCACCGCCACTACATATATCTGGTTTATTTAACGACACTCTCAGTAGCTCAAGGACCGCCTCTGTGGTCCAGTGGTCAGAGTTCCTGGCTACAGATCCAGAGGTCCCGGGTTCGATTCCCGGCGCTACCAGATTTTCTGAGAAGTAGTGGGTCTGGAACGGGGTCCACTCAGCCTCGTGGGCGTAACTGAGAAGCTATCTGAATGGAAAAGTAGCGGCACACTGGAACGTGTTTACCGAGCCGTTGCCTAGAAACGCTTTGAGCAAATCTGTTACATTATGGAGTAACAAGAATGAAACGAAGCACACATTCAGTAGCAGATATCTTGTGATATTTTCTCTCTTTTTTAACGAATTAACTGATTTTACGTTTTGGAAAGACTGCAGTATACTCGTAGGTCCCACTGAGGACGAAACCTGTAGAAGCATTCCTGGTATGGATAAATGTTAAGAAGTGGACAGACTAGCACAGCAGATGGGGCGAGCAGGGGACTCCTGCATGGATTCGGGGGCCTTGGGTGGCACTCGACTACGGGCTTAGATGGGACTAGGTGGAGGCTCTGCTGCCCCTGCAGCACGCCAGAAGGCGGTTGGAGGACTGCCTTCGCCAGTGCTTTCGGGGGGCGAAGCTTTCTCTCCCTCCTTTGACGGCTCACGTGTTGGGTCTTCTGCTTTTCTTCTGTCACGAAGAGGCAGTCAAATCTCTCAGGAGCTCTGGTGAGGGTTCAGTAAGGACAAAGCTGTAAGAGGCCTCTTGACAGAGGTGAATAACCCGACTATCAAGAAGACTGTGACAGGCTGGGGAAGAAGCGAGCCAGTAAAGGGATGCTCAAACGCAGGTGTCAGTTGTTGACATTTGCAGTCGACATAAAGTGACCATCAGCCCTCAAGGGCTATCATGAGGAGTCCACGAAGTTGAGACTGAGTGTGATCTCTTGACGAAGGTGAATAGCCTGCCCATCAAGAAGAAATGCACAAGCTACTGATCGAAAGCAGACCTCTTCTGAGGGATATTGGGAATTTGACTGGGGCTAGTGGTTGGGGCTCTGATGACCCTGTCGGCAAATGACAGGGTGCGCCTGGGACGTTCCGCTGCCAGCAGCCCAAGAGAAGATGACATTCTGGAAGTGCTCAAGTTGGCTGGCCATGGACCTGAGACATATGACTACATGGTTAGGAGCAGAGCCTCAATCTGGGGGCTTCTGCCGAGGCTCCTAAAGAGCCCGGGCAACCACAGGGGGTGGGGTGCGCACAATGAACCCACTAGAAGTGTGTTTGCTTAAGGAGCGAATGTACATAGCCCCATATCAACTTAGCACTGTATTATGAAGCCCCATCATCGAAGTTGCTAAACATAACTTGTCAAAAGGCTGTAACATGTACGAAATCAAGTAATAAATTTCGACTTCAGAAACTAACAATTTTTGTTTAGTGATAATGCCAATAGCGCTGAAAAAAGCAGTTTTATTGCTAAATGTTTAGAATTCATTTTCGGGGGAATTTTCAAACAGCTAGGTCCAACCGAAACGGCGGGAGGTGCTAGGTTCGAATTTTGGCCGGAACACCGGCTACCTTTACTCGCGTTTTTCGTGGATCTCCTCAGTCCCTCGAGGCAAATTCCGACAGAGTACCTCGATTAGGCAAAGGCCACCGCCTTCCAAATATTTTCCATTTCATCAGACATCCTACCATCCGACGCAAAACAGTCTCAGGCACAGCAAGCGTCGTTAAATAGCCCACCACCAAAAGAAAGAAGTTTCTGCTTCGTAATTCATGAAGCTGAACTGCTTTCTTTTAACTAAACGGTGTAGCCTAGAGAGTGTAATTACGAAAGTAAAAAAAAAATGTGTTTCGTTTTATTCCATGTTTCTATCTGTTTTATATTTACTGTGTTTACTTTCGAAAAATATGGTAAAATTAGAATGTATGAGAACGGTAACATAAAAAAAATTAAAGTCAAATTTAGGGCAGAATAAATTTAGGTGATGTCTGCTTGCTATCATTCAGTTCAGACTACTTGGTCTAATTGTCTCCTATCTGAGGATGTGAAGAGTGCACGAGTGTAAGTGTGAAATGGGCCTCTCACATCCATGGGAAGAGAGGTTGAGGGTGTTTCAGAACAGGTTGCTGAGGACAATATTTAGACCTAAAAGGGAGTATTTTGTATTTCTAGTGGGGTGGGACTAAGTCCCTTGTACTGCGGCCACTTCTGGCCTATTGTACCAGCCCCAGATGATAGGTGAGGGTGATTGTGGAGCAATTGGTGGAATGAAGATTGGCAGGAGAAACCGAAGTACTCGGAGAAAACCTGCCAACGCCACTTTGTCCACCACAAATCCCATTTGACCAGACCAGGGATTGAACCAGGGCCGCCGCGGTGGGAAGCCAGCGACTAACCGCTTGAGCTATGGCGCTGCCTAAAAGGGAGTAAGTAAATAGAGACTGATGAAAGTTGCATGAAAACTTCTTAGTTCGTGTTCTTCGTCAAATAGTAGTAAGGTGATCACATCGAGGACAATGAGATGGCAAGTGGGGAATGTACGGTACATGAGAGAGAGGGCACAACTCCTGAAAATGTTGGTGAAGCAATCTAAACTGTTGATTACAACTTTTACCTATGCGAAGAAGAGAAAACCGGGATGGCATTACAACATACTGGCCGAACTTATCATCAAAATCATCACTGTCATCATCACCATCGCCACAAACGTCATTTCTATAGAACAGATCGTCTGCAGAAGCTAATGGTCCTTCATCTGGACAATAATTCTCACCTTTCATGAACTGCCATGTTCACAAGAGGCTGCCACTTGACCCATCATGTGCCAAGTTAACCTTCATACAAGCCGAAAGGTCGCGGGTTCCATTCCCGACGATTTCATTGGATTTTTTTTTTAAATGACCTAATCCTTCCAGCAGTACTATGGCCCTGGGATCGACTCAGACTCGTACCAGGAATCTTCATGATGGGTAAAGGGCGGTCTGCGCGTAAGGCTGACAACCTCACCGCCATCTGAGAGTAGATTGTCTAGAAAATATGGGGGCCTCGAAGTCTCACAACCCTATGGGCCTCCACGGCCTGTTACAGGGACAAGTTTACCTTTTTTCCTTACTTCCAGTTTGTATAACTCAAAACGAAGACAGAACACACACACATACCCAGCAGGCCCAACAGTATAACACACGCAGTCACAGGAGCAAGAGACAACAAAAGCACAACACACACACGATAGTGAAGGAGTGCTCCGACAGAGGAGAATGGGCGTGACTGACGTAGTGAGGTGCGACGTAGCGATGTAGAATCCTGAACAATTTTAATATTGTTAACGTTTGACATTTGTCAGTGTATATGATAGATATATATTTTAGTTATTTTAATGTGAGGACAAGGCATGCAATGAACTAGTTTGGCGTGGATTGAGTAAGCACCTGAAGATGGCATTATTATGCCGAAACATGTAGTGCGAGTGAGAGAAGGAGATAGATGAGNCAAGTTTACCTTTTTTCCTTACTTCCAGTTTGTATAAGTCATATTTATTGCTATTTTCCCTCTATCCCATGTCCCCTAGAGGCCTCTTCCGTTTACGTTTTCACTAAAAGTGGGTACATATTTATCATTTGCCCCAAAGTGCGCTACACTGGCATTCCAACTCTATTATAATTTGTTCCTTTCACATTCAGGATTATTAGGTCCTTCAATATTCCACTCGTAACACATTTTGTGTCTCTATTTCTCTAATGTTTCAGGCGATAAATTCTAAAAATAAAACGTGCCTGTGAACATGAATACAACATTTAGGGTAACCCATTTATTGCAATGTGTTACTGAAAATTAATTACATGGACATGTAGTTATTAAATTCTTACTGTAATGGAAACACGCAAATGAGAAGGTACATTAGAATCATAACCATGCCATACCTCGCCTCCTTCGAGTGGGTTCAGTTTCGAAAAGTAGGATGTGCAGATGACGTCAGAATCCCTTTTGTACGAGGGTTTTCCCCTCGTGGGCTCAATCCCGTATCGTGTCCAACATTCGTCGTCACTGTGAGCATAATACTGCCACGGTCGGTACGTGCTGCCATCTATCGAACGCTCCAAGATCCAATTCGCGGGTCTTGGAGATATTGCAGATTTCACTATCACATACGCCACCTGGTACACCTGAAACAGTAAAACACCACAGTTCACAATGTGGTAAGCTTACAAGATAATTTATGCAGTATATTGGTATAATTAGACCGCGACTTTACTGGACATTCTCCACCATCCTGCGATATGTTTAGGCTCTACTACCGCCTTCATGTAACTGGTTGCCATTACGGAACTGAAAAAGGTAACATTGTCTTGTGCGTAATTAATTAAGCATTACATCATTAAGATATAAGGCGAGGTGGAGGTATAGCTCCATCATTCGGCTCCATACCTCGGCACTGGGTGGAGATGATTGATTAGCTTCACGCTCCGGCTGCTTTACTCAAAGGGAAGAGTACCCGGTTCCCATTGTGTAGGAGGCTGGGTGGGCCCCGGAGCCGGTCTGGACCCTGGGGTAAGAGGAAATCATTTGCTCCTGCCGGAAGTCCAACGCCGGGCGCCCAACAAGTAGTCTGTCACTATATCGGCTGAGATATTCCGAATCCCCTGGTTGCCACTGTTGTTTTATCATTTTCGAGATTAGTATCTGCGCTCGGTTTGAATGTTGCGAGATCCAGCCTTGTAAGAATAAAGTGAAGGACCTTGGATAAGAAACAATGTAGACTGACTGGCCACTGTACACTCAGAAGTCATCTGTATACCAGGGGATCTCCCGGATAGCGCCATGTGCTGGAAATGTGGACCACTCACCCACATGTTATAAGTCCCATTCATCACATCCTCCAACAATTCCGGCTAAAATGTACAAATTATGAAGCCCTCGTTATATAATTTGCTATTTCTTGATAATACTTGTCTTAAGTCCAAGTCCTCAACATTCGGTCTTCAGACACCCACAAAACGTAAGTCCATCTGTGGGCTGAGAGACCAAGTTTCACACCCATTCAAAAGCATCAGGTATGATTTATTTTAATCTTTATCATTAAACTTCAGATAAGAAACATAAAAATTGCTAAAATTAATGTGCTCCTCATTTACATCCTCGTGGATGTAATTCTGAATTCTTCGACATAAGGTTCTCACAGATGACTCTGTAGCGTTGTATCTTCTGGGATGTGTTAGCGTGTAGTCTGGTGGAAATTCAGAGACGTTTCGGAGGAACATATATTCACAATCGAAGAGTAGGCCAACAACTCGCTTCTTGTTTCTTTCTTGTTTGGCTTCCTCTTCGAACCTTCTGATGGCGGCCGCATGTTCCTCCTAATTTGGTGAAACTGTACCGGACTATATGGAGTCACATCCAACATGATAATACGATTCATTTTATTTCTTTTTTCTGTTCCCTAATATTGAAACTTTGTTAACAATCTTTGAGAATATTCTTCATATTCCTAACACAAAAACATATGTGAGAAATTCCAAATTCGCTCATCTCTCGCTTGAAACGTCAACATGCAAAACTAACCCCACGGAAGTACAGCATACAGCAGTGGTCCCCAAACTTTTCTGACCATGTAGCACCTACTGCGTGGCTTTTCTTTCGCGGACCACCCGAATATTAAACAAGATATTCTGTACTTTTTAATTGAATAAGAGCACAATTATTCAACAGTTAAGGCGGCCGCACACCAACTGCATCAAGACAAGCGTCAAGACATGAGACATGAGTCTTTCTTCATTCGTGATTCGTCAGCATCATGACTCAGACCGGTGTGCAGCGGTTTTCATAATCTCATTCATATCACCTGTGCTCCTTTCTTTGCGTCATGTCGCAGACATCGTGTCTCGACTATTACATGTCTTGATGCATGCCGGTGTGCGGCCTACCTTACACCTCCGTGACTTTTTGTATGAATATAAAGATTCTGCCGTGTTAATTGTATGTTTATTTGTGCATAAATGATCTTGACCTTGGAGAAGGAGGTGAACCACTGATGGTCCGTGGATCATGAATTTTTGGAAATCTGGCCTGCAGGGACGCAACGCCCAGTGCACAACTAAATAAAGGCAAAGCCACACACCTCCAAACACTGCTTCGTTATGTCAACTATCGTGCACAGCTCACTACGTCTCGTGTTCTGACGCTATGTAACAGGAACACATACTAGACAACCGATGTGTACAGATCTGGTTTTTCCTATAATTATTCATGAATTCGAAAGTCTGGATAAGAACCTTATTAAATTATGACCAATAAACATAATTCTAGGTGTAACCTTCTCCCTTGCTTATAACATCTCGGCACGGACCACGTAGAAACATCCCTTTCCATTATTGTAGTGCAGCTTTTGCATTATTAAGAATAATATTTACCAAGCAATTGCCCAGAAAAGGTCGCTGTTCACAGAATTACCTCTTAGCAAAGGATCTATACGCCACAACACTAAGGTTTTAATAAGATATTACAGCAATTTGTTACAATAAACTTTTCGCTAATATACGATATCATAATAATATTTTATGAAAATACAAAATTATATTTTTATTTCGTGATCACTCACAGTTTACTGGAATCAGACATGCTAAACCTACATTGCGATATGCTATGAACACCTTATCGTATCAGATGCATTATAATCAAAAGATCTGCTTATCGCCCTTTGCCAAGTGCGTACATAATTAAGAAGGATCTTTTCGGAACCATAAACACACCACAACAGTGAATGCTTCTAATGCTTGTTTTACTCTTTCTTTGACCTATCGCCACGTACCGTTCTCTCTTTATGCGTTTAAGCTAATTGAAAAATTAATGTAGCCCTTAGATAAATAATCGGCCTGGTGTTGGTCACAGTTGAAACCGCTCTCAGAGCCTTCGCTTCGCCACGTGCGGTCTTCCTAAACAAAGATCCCCTTGAAACCAGGGCAACCATCTTAACACCTGTGGTGTGAGTTGTTATTACAGTTCATTGAATTGATCTGTTTGTAAAGCTTGATTAAGTCCTAGTTTAAGGCATGCCGGTTCTGTCGAACTGAAAGAACAGCACCATTTACTATACATTAGAGTTCACGGGTTGTGTGCGCGGTTGATACCTTTCATATGGGAGTTGTGCTGAATAGTGTTTTGATAGGAGCATAACAGCATTATCTACACGTCATACAAACTGAAATAACAACAGCATTCCTCGTATATATGGACTATCGACTGTTATTTAATTATTAGTAGGTGGTCACTACATGGTTTGAATTCCAGCACGTGAATGCCGACTAAAATTTGTTTTCAGTGAAGTCTGAATGACAGACAGAATGGAGCAGTAATTTTTTTTTTTTTTTTTTTTTGAAATTAGTACTCCTCAGCCACTCGACAAATTCCACAAATTTTATATAGACCGAAGGTTCATTAATCTGTTCACGTGAGCTTGCGAATATAGAAATGTCGACTACTAAATTCATATTCGACGGAGAAAGTACGTTTAACCAGCAGCAGCGATAGAATTATTTTGACATTTCTCAAGGCTTTTTTCAGCTTTAGATTAGATAAATCTGGCTCAGGATAGGGACCAGTGGAGGGCTCTTGTGAACACGGTGATGAACCTTCGGGTTCCATAAAATGCTGGGAAATTCTTGAGTAGCTGCAGAATTGGCGGCTCCTCAAGAAGGGCTCAGCTCCATGAGTAAGTAAGTAATTATTAAATTTAAAACTGTTCTGTCCATCTCGTACGCCTGGTATTCTTGGTCTCCTCTTCTGCTGGGTTTGCAGCTTGAGGGTAAGTTAGAAAATATATTTTGCTCCATTCTTCCTAGGAGCTGTGGAAACTTCTCTTGATAGCTTTTAATTCTTGAATTTATATAAACGATTCGCAGCAGGTGAAGGTTCAATCAAAGAGGAATTAAATCGTACTCAGCTCAGACGTTGTTATTGTCACATGAATGGAGTGACTCTGGACGGGTTTTGGATTTATGATCGGATCTATTGTACTCTTTCATACAGCTCGTGACTACACCTTACAGGTGAGTGTTCTCGGTAGGTTACAGTCTCCACTAACCGATGCTTGGTAGCGGCTTCCAATGGCGAACATTTCCCTGTCTCTGGTTTCCCGAACGGTCCCCAGCCTCAGCTACCAGCTAGCAGCAACAGCTCACAATAACTGAACTGCAGCAGTTACCTAACTCACTCATTCCTCACTAAATCCACTGACGCCTAACTCTTCCTGATTATAATATATAGGCATGGACCGTGTAGTAAACACCGTTCCTCTGTTGCATGCAATTGTTGCCGAGGAAGCATGCTTCTTTGCGGAGCCGTTACTTGGCGACGGCTGTTGTACTGTTTCTTATTTGGCGGTGGTTGCCTGACAACGGGTCTACATGACTTTATAAAATTTCGAACCCAATGCCGAGGTCCACCTTCAGGTTGCAGAGGTCGACGGTTCAAATCTCGGCCCGAACACCGGCTATTCCGAGAAATTCATGGCTTTTCTCGCTCCATCTATAGAAACTCCATGATACTGGCCCATCGCAAGGCAGGTACCTGTATAAGACAACACAAACATCTGTCTGCAGGGACAACACAAAGACAAAAGGCGCAGGCTTATAACCATGCCCAGAGCGGCTTACGAATCCATGATCCCAGTGTTCGATGGGCAGAATACGGCATACGCCTCAGACCTCGCGGCCAAAGATATGGAATTTCGAGATCAGACCTCAGATGTTTGCATGGATCCATGTTTGGATTCTTAAATGCAGACAGCTGGAAAGATCCTAGTACAATAGTCTACAATGTCAATGCAATTCGTTACTCGGTTTCACGAAAAACGGTAACTGCATGCACATGGTATGACGTCAGTGTTTATCGGGGGAGAGACAGGCCCTCACTCCATGGCACTTTCCCTGATTTTTCAAAATCCTAAATTTTCAAAATTAATTTAGTTCTACATCGCCAACAAGAATGCCGTTTATTCATCAAGAATTTTTATACCTTACTCCAGCTTAAATCAATGTCATACAGAACATCAGACACAAACAATGTATTTGCGTAGTGAGTTGAAAGCTGTTGATCTCACATATTTCTGGATTTCGAGACTTTTTCCTTTAATTTAAACTGATTCATTTATCACTTATTCATTTTACTT